AAATTTCACCAAAATTCAACTTTCCACTCAATTTTTTTTATGTAGAATCCGATTTTGGATATTAGTTTTTACAAAAAAAAATAATAAAAGTGGGTGAGAATAGAAAAAACACTGGTGGGTAAAGTATGTAAGAAATATATCAAGTTGTATCTTATCAGTTGTAGGTTGGAAGTTGAATCTAAACTATATAAAGAGTAATCTTAAATTTATACTCACACTTGGGTCCCGCAACAATTTTCTTTGAGATCCCAATGCCATACTCATTGATTTAGTCGCATTCAAAAGTTTTGTTTTTGCCGTGTTTTAAGAGTCAAGCATAGCGATAATGTCTGGCACATAAGAGCCTATTGAAATTGTACTTTTGGGAAGCTGTTGTACTTTTTTAAGATTTAACATATGTGAGGCAAAGAAATGATTGAAAAAAATATGTTGAAAAAATATTTTGAAAAATGCCTCTCAAAACTCTACCTATCACTGATTCTAAATATTTGAGGAACCTTTCAAAATCATACAGCTAATACTATTGGCTTTTAAAACATCCCTTACAAATTCTATGCTCCCCAATTTTTTCTATTTTTCAAATACTTTTCTTTATTTTTTGCACAAACTAAAATGAAAATCAGATTCTATGCGAAAACTGAGAGTAAGGAATTGAATTTTGATGAAATTCTATAATTGAAAGTGTTGGTGGCCGATGCTGCCACCACTAGCACTACGGCGGGAGGCAGCCATGGAATCTACATTCTTAGTTTGTTTTAAATAGGACGAAGAAGAAGAAATGGTGAGGTGCCTTTTTCCCTTTTCCTTTTCTTTGATTTTTTTTTCTCTAAAGTTTGGGCATAAGATGCCCGTAATTTTTTTTTCTAACAAATATATGAGCAGAAATGAGTTGAGGGATTAAAAATGTGTCATTTTCATTTGTATGAGATGAAAAAATATTATTTTATATATGAGGGACTAATAGGTACAAATCCAATGCGTGGAGGATTATTTGTATGATTTTTTTTTTTTAACATCAACAATGATTGGAGACCTTTTCTTTCCGGATAGTCAAGAAACCATGTCCAGGCGAAGTCCAATTTGTTCCATGACTACTAATATTTCATGTAACTTGTAGTTTAATCACTGGGTCCTTCAATTTTCCAGAGGAGGCCTCTTAGTGTCCTATCCATTATTAGGTCTGTGATTTAAATTCAGTGTACAGTTAAGGTTCAAAAGGTGTTGGAGAGAAATGGGAGGGATGAAAAGAAAAGTTGCAAGTTGTAGTTTCATAGGGTAGTATTTGGATTTAAAAAAAAGGGTAGTATTTGGATTTGTATTAATTAATGTAGGCTCTTCTCATATTGTATCCAAGAACATAAATATTTTACATTTTATGGGACATAGTTCTTTCAACCCACCACTTGTTTTAATAGTCAATTACTAATAATTCGAATTAACTCTTGATGATAAATAAATAGTGAAAGATAAATTGAAAATTTATATCACTATATTAACTATTGTATACATGATGCCATACTACAACACAATGCATCCAAAGAACGTAATTAACCTATTTTTTATTGGATTTCTTTTTTTTTTCAGTCCAAAGAGAAGATTCCAAATTTTACAATGAGTAATGGGGAAAGAAAATATTTTAGAGTCAAATTAAAGACTTCACGATGAATGACTTGAAAATATGTCCTTCAATAATGCACTAGTCCAACAAATATTATTGAGCCAGTTAATTTTGTGGGCATTATTCAGGACATTATAAGGCTAATAATCAGCACATTACTGTTGACTGACAACGTTTGCTTCATGAATAGACTTTCCGATATGTTGGATGGAACAAGTTGACAGACGGGTCCCAAATAATGACGGCTTGCCAATACTGGATAAGAATGATGAGTTCAAGCAGCCAACTCTTTGCTATAAGAATCAATAATAGAACTAGATTTTTTGCCCTTTTTAGCAAGAAAGTGATGAGATTTAAGAAGTAAGGGGGAAAAAGGGAGAATTGAAATCATGATCTCTAATTTTTTAAGTTCAAATTTCAGTCATTAGATTAAAACCTCCTCCACCATGACAACTCTTTTCTTTACCATTTTCCAGTTAAGAAATGTTGCCCTCATGAACCAGTTGCATGTCTATTAGTTACGATTATGACAGTTCGCGTAACTAGTGACTATATGGTATTATTGGATGAAACTTGTGTGGTTAATATAAGCTCTAATAGTGACATAATATCCATCTAAAGAACATAATTCACCTATTTTTGACTGGAAATGTATCCCTTCAAATTTCAACCATGCTCTGTCCAACAAGTTAATTATGCCAATTGGTTAATCTGGATCATATTATTATGGACATTATTACTCATAATCGGCAAATTTCCATTAACTAACAGCGCTTGCTTCATAAAGATGTTCCATTATGGTGTACAGGACTACTTATTCGGGTTTAAAACTAATGACCAATTTCAAATGCTGGAAAGAATGATTAAGCTAACTAGAATTTCTTCTTTTTTTTTTACAAGGGAAGGATGAGATTTAAAAAATGAAATAGATAAATCAACGAAAAAATAAAAAATTTAACTATAATAATTAACCAATACTTTTTCACAAAATCCTAATCCTAGACTTAAATTAGTTCACTATGGTCATGAATAAACCAAAAATTCACGAAATACAAGGATAAAGATAAAGAGCAAGTAAAACGTCTCTAATCTTCATCTGTATTACTCTTTCATCCTTGTCCACCTTCATCTTGAACTCTCCAGGGGATAGATGTAAAAGATACGAGCTAAGGAATTGCACAATGTTTCCCCCTCTCCTTCTCTCCTTCCCCCCCCCCCCCAAAAAAATTAAAAACGTCCTAATATATCCTATTTATATTATCCTAAATTCTAAGTTAATATACATAAGGATTAGGTTTTTGAAAACTGAATAAACCTGAGTCCGCTTAGAAATCCGATGAAGTCCTACACAGTGTCCTTCATGAAGTCCGGCGCCAATCATTGCCTAATGTGAAATTTGAAGAAACTTCAGAAGATGTCCGGCCCAATGTCCCTTCTGAAGTCCAGTGCCGGTCTTCCATTTGGAACTCAAGTTTTGCGTGTGATTTCAGTTAGAACTAAAAATAAGACTAAATTAACAATTTCTATCCACATTAAAGTTCAAATAAATCAATTAAAACATTAAACACTCATATAAAATGAGTGCAAAATTCTAACCAACAACACTATGAATCCAAAGAACATAATTAACCAATTTTTGATCGATTTTTTTTTGGTTAAGAGGAGATTCCAAACTCAATAAGGAGTAATAAGAAAAAGGAAAGGTTTGAGAGTCAAACTAAAAACTTCATAATCACCTGAGAATATATTCTTTCAATAATAAACTAGTCCAATAGTGTTGAATTAATTGTTGCGGACATTGTTCAGGACATTATAAGGCTAATAATCAGCACGCTACCGTTGACCAACAACCACGTTTCCTTCATGAATAGACTTTTCAATATGGTGGAGGAGCAAGTCGTCCGGGTCTCAAATAATGACGGCTTGCCAAAACTGCATAACAATCAAGAACTAAAATAGTCTGCTCTTTACTATAGGACTATAAGAATCAATAATAGAACTAGAATTTTTTTCTTTCTAGCAAGGAAAAAAAGGAATTTAAGAAACGATGAGGAAAAAAGGAGAATTGAACTCAAGACCTCCAATTTCTGAGGTTTCAAATTTAGTCAATAGATTAAAACCTCTTTAGCCGTGACAACTCATTTATTTACCTTTTTTAAGTTAATAAATCTTCCTCTCATGAAACCTCAACCACTTGCATACCTGCAAGTAATAGTTACGATTATGATAGTTCATGTAACCAGTGGTTTCATACGGTATTATTTGAATGAAACTTTGCGTTAGTTAATGTAGGTTCTAAAGAACATAATTTCCCTACTTTTGACAGGAAATGTGTCCTTTTCAACCATGACCGGTCCGACAGCTCCTACTTTTGGTTCAGTCGTTGGTGTATCGTACACATATGTCCCTGCATGTAGCTTCATAACATCTTAAGCTGTATAGGCTGTCAGGTTCTAAGAAATAAAAAAATATTTTGGCTACAAAATAGTTTGAATGCTAAGCAACGGAATGTAATATGAAAATACAAATTGTTGCAATGGTCCCTAACATTTTTTCAATTTAAAGATTGATTGTTTGAAGGAGTATCAGTCGAGGGAGGCAATTATTAATAGTTATATTTGTTTTGACATTGCAATTTAGGGACTACACTAAAAAAAACTAATATTTCTAATGCATTTCATAGAATTTTTTGTACTTGAGGATCAGCAATTGCAAATTTTTGTGGTAGGTTCTTAAATAAAGTAATAACCTTTTAATAAACTGATTAACCTGCTAAGAATATGAGAAGTTTTGCCAAAATGTAATAAAGTTTATTAAAAATTGGCAAGTGTTGCTAAAATATTGGTACTTTTCACTAATAAAGGAATAACTTTTTTCTGTTAAGAGTCCTAGGACTATATGTTTTTTTTTTTAAAAAAATCAATGGTAAAGAGTCCTGGATTTGTAAGTCAATTAACATGATTTGGAACGTCTCCTTAAGAAACTACTAAGATTGTCTTCCAAAAAGGTAGGGCAAATGAGCTAAGGGAAGCTCAACATTGACTAGACCAAATGTTATGGCTGGGCACATCCTCTTGCCCGTCCCAAATGGAATATATTCAAACTGATAGCCAGTGTACTCGACTGATTTTTGCTCGAATCTCTCTGGTTTGAAGCTTTCTGGATCATCCCAATAAATAGGATTTCTCCCCATTGCCCAGACATTAACCATAATTTGTGATTTTCAAGGAGGGGAAAAAATCAGCAGCAACAAAGCCACCTGCTAAGGTGACTGACTTCTTCAAAAACTCGATCATCGTTTCATTGTTCTTCAATATCCCCCAAAAGCTGCTCGGCAGGTCATTGAACTTGTATACACTAAAAACTTATGTGTAATATTTACCGCTTTCCCTGAAGAAAAGAGAATTGATTCCATCAGTTTTGCGATTTCAGCATTTCTAATAAAACTGAATGATCGGACTCTCTTGCCGCTAAGAAGCTCCATCAGGCATATTTTACGCATTTGCCTCCAGTGATCGCCGTAAGGAGTAAAGGCAAGATCTTGTAGATCATAGCACAAGATAGTGGTGGCTAGTCGCGGTGGCCTGTCTGCAAAGCTTGGATCATGAGTTACTAGAACCTCTTTCGCCATCTCGGCTGAAGATACAACCACTGTAGAAACTTCACCAAGTTGAACGTGCATGATTCGTCCATATTTTATGGCCAAATCTCGGAGAACATGGTGTGGAGCTCCACCAATCAAGTTGTGCAGGTTCCCAATTAGAGGAATTTTTATTGGAACTGGTGGAAGATTTCCAGCCAAGTTAGATATATGTGTGTCAAATTCTTCGATACCATAAATAGGAACAAGAAGAGAAGAAGCAGACTAGGGAAGCTCAAAGGTAAAGGAAGAAACTCAAGTTCCATTCTGGAAATTTGAAATGATATAGAAAGATATCTTTTGGTGCCTGACATCACTTGATTATTTGTGTATATATATACCTGAAAATGCTCTAAAGCTTATCCATGTTGCCTGACCTAAAAATATGTTTTAGCAGTTTTCTTTCCTTTGGGTCGTAATCCCAATAATTCGATTAAGCCGCCGCCAGTTTTGAATCTTCCAGAGCCCACCTTCGCTTTACTAGCACTATATGTGATATTATTGATGGTCAATCTGCCTGACCTTAGGAGGAATGGTAAAGGCTAAACAAGGCAAATACCTGGGACTTCCAATGGTAGTTTCAAGGTCTAAAGAGCAGATCTTTGGCTTTGTGAGGGACAATATTAGAAACAGATGCCAGAATTGGAAAAACAAATTTCTGAGTCCAGCAGGTAAGGAAGTGCTACTGAATGCAGTTGTAATGGCAATGCCTACATACGTGATGTCTTGTTTTAAGCTGTCCAGAAGGTTGTGCAAGGATATCCGTGCTTTGATGGCCAACTTTTGGTGGGGTGAAGCTAATGGCAAGAATAAAATGCACTGGTTGTCTTGGGAAAGATTGGCAATGGCCAAAAGTGCAGGAGGTATAGGATTTAAGGATATTGAAGCTTTCAATCAAGCGCTGTTAGGAAAACAAGTTTGGAGGATACTTACTAAACCAAATCTGTTGGTTAGTAAGGTGTTGAAATCCAGATATTCTCCACAGGAATCCATTCTGCAGTGCAACATCTCCAAAAATGCATCCTGGATTTGGCAAGGACTCATGGGGGCAAGAAGTTTAATCACTGCTGGAATGATTAGAAGGATAGGAAATGGAAGGAGTACAAATATCTGGAGACACAAGTGGATCCAGACTCTGAAACAGGGAAACCAACTACTAGTCGAGAGGAATCATTGTGAGTTGGAAAAGGTAGAGGAGCTTATTAGTCAGCATAGGTGGAACAGAAATATTATATTCAGATATTTCAATAGAAGTGATGCTCAAAAAATTCTAGCTATTCCTCTGAGCCTGGCTGATAGGGAGGATAGCTTCTACTGGCAACCAAAGGAGGGAGGGGCGTACACTGTAAATTCTGGATATAAGTTTCTGATGAAGCAACACAGAAAGAGAGATAGGTGCAGGCAGGAAGGAGCTAGCTCTAGCTATACAGTAAGTGATTCGCATTTAGCTCAGATGTGGAATACACTTTGGAGGTTAAACATCAAGCATAAAATCAAGTTTTTCATATGGAAATGTATTCAAGGTGCTCTGCCTGTGAAAGCAGCAGTGTATAGACGAACGGGGGTGGGGGATCCGATATGTAAGAGGTGTGGAACAGCACAGGAAACAGTTGAACATCTTCTGCTGACTTGCCCCCACACAGAAAACATATGGAAGGCTTCTCCCATTCAGTGGGATGGAGCAAAGGAGCAGCAGGGAGATTTCAAAAGGTGGTGGCTAAGAATCTCAGAAGCAAGGCACAGGACAGAAGGGATGGAACACATTGGTTTAACTGCGAACATCCTGTGGCAGGTATGGAAAGAAAGAAACAAAAGAGAATTTGAGAACACTATCGTTGATCCTCCCTTCAAATCTATAAGGAAAGCACATTCTGAGTGGCTAGAGCAGCTGCAGCTAGAGTACAAGGGGCAAGGAGAGAGCACAGAAGAAACAGCCTTTAGGCAAGAAACTCAGGATCAGAGTTATGTAAAGGAAGGAGAAGTGCTAATGGAGGTGTCTACAACCATGAAACAAGGGCAGCTATTCATGGGAATTGGAGTCACAGTTAAGGTTTTTGCAAGCAATACGATGATAGGGTGGGTAATGAAAGACATCAGCTCTGGAAACAAACTCCTAGATGAAGCTCAGGCGCTGAAACTTGTGTTGTGTAAAGCAGTGCATCGTAAGTGGAGCAATATTAAGCTGAGAGTTGGTAACAAAGAACTGTGGAGACAATTAAAACACCAGAGTCCAGCGGACAGCAGAATGGCAACAGTACTTGAAGACATCTCTCAGTTACAGAGATTGTTTCGCATGTGCTCTTTTGGATTGAATAGGGAAGAAGAAATGATAGTCAGTAAAAAAATGAGTGTTGATGCTTTAAGCATTATTGTGGATGAGGAGCGACAGCTTCCTCAGTGTCTTTGAACACTAGTGTGTACAGTTCGATCGAGCCGTTGCTCGTATTTGTAATTTTTTACCTTTAAAGCAATAAAATCATCTTATCGTTTCGACAAAAAAAAAATACAGAATTGGATAGTTATAGAAACTTCCCAAAGTTTTCTAATAATATTAATTGGTACCCTTCTTAAAATACTATTATCCTCTCTTGTCATCCAAAGTCAACATTGCAACACACAAATTGACACTTGTATCCTTAGTGCTTTAGGCTTGCTTCGGGAAAGTTTTTCTCACTGAAAAATTTGTCATGTTTGTTTTCCTCTTTCTTTTCTTTTTTTTTTCCAGCAAAAAGTTGTCCCTAATCTTTAACAAAAAGTTTTAGAAATGTTGGCACCATTTTAGGAGGCTGTATGTTTGAAGTTGAAAATTGTTAATGCCAATCAACTTATCACATTGGCTGGATTCACCTCATTAATTTCTTTGGCGTCATATCTTGGTAGAATCTACAAATTGCTGTAGCAGGAGTAGAGCTTACCTTCCCTTTTACTTTGTTTTGGCCCAAAACATTTCGATTGTGGCCTTACAAATAAAGCCACAACATTTCACTCCAAGGTTGAAAGATGTTGACATCTATGGTTGTCAACAGTCCAGATTTGGACTCCAACCTGGTCCGGACATGATAGTTTTTTTCGAGTACAGATTGAGAAATAATTCTGTTATTTGGATCCAAACTGTACCCGTTTACTCTAACAAAAAAAGCGGGTCTGATACGAAATATAGGATTCCGATCCAAATCTAGATAATACATTAATAATTATAAAATATAAATATTTTTAAATACATTAATAATTCTTTTACCAATTTAACAAATCCAAATCTTACAATCCACCCAACCGCACATCTCTCTCTCTTCTCTCTTGGTCCACCCACACATCTTTCCTGAACCTTATTTTTGTTGGACCTTTTTTTTTCGAATAAATCTGAACCCGACCCAAGACTTGTCGAACCCCAGTTCCGGGAGCCTCAACACAAAATCCATCAAATAGGCGGGTCGGGTCCGGAACTAGTACATTATAACTTGTTCATAGGGGTGGCAATGGGACCCCTCCCCACCCCCCCCGCCCCGTTGCCTATTAATTCCCCCCTCCCGCCCCGTCCCCCGCCCCCGCTTGCCCTGCCCCACCCCGTTTCCCCCGCGGAGGCACCCGTGGAGTTAAAAAAAATTTATTATATAATTTCATTATAATTAAATTTGAGCAAATAATCAAATACTAAAATATCAACATATCACCAAATTATTATTCATTGTAACTTCACAATTGAAACTCATAAAAATAATTAAACAAAAGTTATTTGAATACAATTTAATATGATAAAACAAATATAACTAAAATAATCAAGTTTTTACTTTTGATACAAATACAACCACTAAATTATTATTGTATTTTTTAGAAAAAGTGTTATTGTATTAAGTGTAGTTAGAAATTTAATATAAATGTATTAATAAATTTAGTATAAGTAATTAATAATTTTATTAATAGACATGTATAATTAGTAGTATAATTAATAATATCATTATATATATAATTATGCACATATATATATCTTTTTTTTTCAAATGGGTGACAGGGCAGGGTGGGGCGGGGGAGTATACCCCCGGACCGTTTCTACCGCCCCGTTTCTAAACGGGAGGAAAAATTCCCCCCCCGCCCCCGCCCCACCCTCACCCCAATAGATCCCCGCGGGCACCCGCACCCGTTGCCATCCCAACTTGTTCAGGTCCAAAATTTTTAAATCTGGCCTGAACCCGACCCGTTGACAAGCCTATTGACATCCCTCTTAAACTTGAAAAGGTCATACTTATGCTCTCCAATTCTTAATTTTGTACTTTTCAAATGTATTCATCAATGTTCAATTTGTTCAATCCGCAAGTCTATACAGTTCCAGCCACGTAAGTAACCTTTGCTATTGCAATTATAACGTGCTTGATAGTTGATAGTTGATGTTGTTGTATTTTGTTGCATTACACTTGCATCCCTTGCATATTTTTTCCTTGGATTTCTAACATCTTATTACTCCTAAAAAAATTCTAATGAATTAACAAGTAAGAAACAAGAAGGGCAATTATGACATGAAAAATATGTTCTCTACTTTTATGTCTTCCTTTTCTCATAGGGGCTGAATTTAACATGTACACAACATTTAGTTAGGGTAGAACAATGAGATTTCTAGAAGTTTAGGTCCCCAAATAGTTTAGATATAAACATGTATGCATATTCATCCAAGCTCTAAAGTATTAACTTAGATAGAAGGTTTTCTACACTCAATTGACACATGACATCATAATTATGTGACATTTGTTAATTATTTTTATTAAATATATGAACCATGAAAAAGTTTGAAAGAAAATAAAAAAGAACCAAGAAGCACAATGTACTAACCTTTTAAAATGGACATAAAATATATGTATATATATTTTGACAGAGGATCGGGTATTCGTCAGTACATTTAAATCATACTTAGCTACACTCACATTTAATGCACACTTTAGACATCTTTCCACATTAGTCTAACTTTTGCCAAAGACTTAATGTGATGCCCCCACTTCTCC